CTACCCTGTGCACAACAGAACAAAACACTGCCTGCTCTTGGGTCAACTTCACAATCGTTGCTAGACCTGAGCCCATTGCTGTCACCACTGTGGCAATCCATCTCGCTGGGGGTCTTCCTCTTTTACTCTCACCCTCTACTTTACCAAGCATGATATCCTTCTCCAGTGACTGGTCCTTCCTAATAATATGTCTGAAGTATGAGAGATGAAGTTTGGCCATCCTGGCTTCCAAGGAGCACTCTGGTTGTACTTCTTCTGACACAGATCTGTTTGTTCTTTTGGTAGTCCATGGTACTTTTAATATTCTCTTGTAACACCATAACTCAAATGCATCAATTCTCCTATGCTCTTCCTTATTCACTGTCCAACTTCCACATGCATATGAGATTATTGAAATTCCCATGGCTTGGGTCAAGCTCACCTTAGTCCTCAAACTGACATTTTTGCTCTTCGACACTTTAAAGAGGTCTTGTGTAGCAAAACAAAAAATAGATATTCATTTAAATGTCCAAAGAGCACATTTTTCAAGCTCTTCCTTCTTGATGGTCCTGAGATCCTCCGTTCTTGAACTGAAAGATTAACTACTCTCCCCTTTTAGTTATACATCTTCTACAATTACAGTTGTGACAATCACAATTAATCCTGTTAAAAATTACTCACAATTGAATCATAAAATCCCATTACCATCATCCTCTATCTCTTATCACCAGATCCATCTGGAAAAGTGGAAAACTATTCAGTGGGATTCTACATCACCTGCTTCATTCTGAAACTAAGCGTACTCATTCTGAAAGCTTGTAAGCCAGCCACTTTGTATCTTTATAGCCCCCCATTTTTTGATAACCAATATCTAAATTTCCCATTCCTATCAACACAGTGCACAGAGAAAATCAGCTTGGTCCTTGATATGAAGAATCCTTTAATTTCTGTTGGATTTTGAGCAACTGCATCCATAAACAAAGGTCTAGTTCATCAAATTGTAGCAATTTACACTTGCTCACAGTACCTAGCATCATTATCTGGTCAGCTAGCCATACAAGCTAGGTCAATGGGTATTAGATGCAAGTTTACAAGTTCATGCATGCCTCCCCACACTTCAGACCAGTGGGTTGCTTCACTCTCATATCTCCCTAAACTTTAGAGCAGTTAGCCCTTCCTCTTCTCTCTTTCATTTCAAAGTCAATGGGTGTCAGTGAAACATGGCCAAACTCAGCCCGTGTCTTCATTGCTGCATATCCCCCACTTCCACTCATGAGCAGACCAGGGTAGTCACCAGCGAGCATACTAGACTGCTCACAGGTTCCCTTTGAGTTTCAGTCTTAGAAGGGGGTTTTCCCTGATGGGCTGACTTTTCTTGCCTGGATGCCTCCAAAGCAAACAGCTTGCTTGATAGTCTGACAGACAGTCTGTTTTTGTTTGTTTGTTTTTCTGCAGGTCTTTATTTCGATAACAGTCTTCTGTTCTCCCAGCCATTCTAGGTTAGTCTGCAAGTCTTTTCAAGTGGGAATGTCCCATCTCAGAAGGTTCTGGGTGGGGCTCAGGATTCTACCTAAGGCCCCATACTCCACAAAGGTTTAGCAGGAAGCCTAGTTCTGTGGGCAAATTCTAATTCCAATTTCAGCTAATCTAACCAATTATAGGATGAAGATGGACTTATAAACTTTCTTGGGAATATTGGGAATCATAATTCCAAATATTAATTTCCATCACACTTAAATGTCTATTTTACAATAACAGACAAGGGAAACCAATATTTTATAATAGTAGGCAGTTGAGGACCTAAACATTTTCCCCTTCCTTTACCAATTTAGACTATGTTTCGATCTCTGTATCACAGAACACTGTTGTTCCAAGGTTGTGTATAAATCACTATTTACCTCTACCCCATTTAGCCCATGGATACCTCCCTAACTCTTCCCCTATCTTCATTGTTCATCTGCCACCCTCCCTGTTCTTGTGTATTGCTCTTGCCCTCTTCATCATCCAAGCTAACATGTGTTTACCCCAAACCTGTGAATTACTGTCCATCATCTTATGAGGTGCTTTGCAGATTCATCATAGTTCTTCAAGGTTGCATAGTATTCCTTTGTGTGTACGTACCAGAGTTTGTTTATCCATTCTTCCATTGATGGGCACTTAGGCATCTTTTTGCTATTGTGCATAGTGCTGTGATGAACATTGGTGTGCATGTATCTACTCATGTCCTGGCTCGTATTTCTTGTGGAAGGTTTATGGGGAGTCCTGGTGTGGTACTGCTTAATGTGCAAGACTGCAAGATTGGTTTGAACTGCAGGATTGGTGGTTCAAGCTCACCAGCACTCCTTGGAAACTCTATAGAGGGCCTTTATGAGTCAGAACTGACTTGATGGCCTTTAACAACAACAAGGTATTTCTATTTCCAACTTTCTGAAGAAGCAGAAGGCATTCCCTTTCTGTCAACTCTGAAGACAGTCCTTCTTTCTTCAGCTTCTGCTTCCTAGCTCCTTGGAGATCTTGATGTGTCTTGGCATCTATCTTCCCTCATCTATGCTCATTCATTTGCTTGTTGAATCTCTTTAATATCTCAAAAGAGATTGGCTCAAGACACCACACACACACACACACACACACACACACTAACCCTATATCATTAACATAACAAAGACAATCCATTCCCCAAAGGAGATTATAATCAGAGGCATTGTTGTTAAGTGCCATAGAGTTAGTTCTGACTCATAATGGCCCTGCATAGAGTTTCCAAGGAGTGCTGGTGAGCTTGAACCACCAATCCTGCAGTTTAGAGTTTCTGAGGAGCGACTGGTGGGTTTTAACCATCACTTTGCGCTTCAAACTGACCTTGTGATCCAGTGCTTATCTTACAGCACCACACAAGGACTTCAGCCAGAGGCATAGAGGTTAGGACTTGCAACACAAATTTTTGGTGAACATAATTCAATCCAAGAGGGTTGGACCAACAGTCTCCAAGGTGATTTGTGGGGGATTTGGAGGATCAGTCACTATAGAAGAGAATCTAGATAAAGAATATCTATGAATGCTTGTCCAGAGAAGGTATACCATCTTAGTTATTATTGGCATCAGAGTCCTTAGGTGGTACAAACTGTTAATATGCTTACTGAGGGGTTGGAGGTTCAAGTCCACCCTTAAAAAAATGGCCAGGTAATCTACTTCTGAAGAACCAGCCACTGAATATCCTGTGAATTACAGGTCTTCTTTCACACATGAGGGATCTCTATGAGTCACACTCAACTCAATGGCATCTGTTTTGTGTGTGTGTGTGTGTGTGTGTGTGTGTGTTTTGTTTTATTTTTATTTCTAGTATTGCTGCCAAGGGAATTGGAGGGTAGACCTGGCATAGTAGAACGAGGATCTGAGAGTTCAGTCCTCCTCTTCTTCTCCAGTCTCAGTTCCCTTCAGGGACTTGGGCTTCTCAACTACTCCCACTTTCCTTTAGTCTCATTCGTATTTCTTTCAAAGACTGAGCTCCCAGCCACTGGCTGTCTTTGTTGGCAAAGAGTTGGGTGGACTGTGGTTTCCTCTAACTGTGAATGGGTCTGGGTTCTGGTCACCACCTTGAGCTAACAGAGACTGGAAATCTCAGATATGTAACAGCACAACCTCTCTCACTCTGGCGATCTCCGGACTCTCAATCTTCTGGCCAGATACCAGAGACATCTCCTTTGTCCCCACTGGGTTGTTTCCCCACATAATTAAGACCATATCTGTCCATTGATAGGGGTGTTTCACCTCACACCCTGTCTTTAAACATAATCAGTCCCTCCCAGAAACCAGCGACCTCATTTACTCATGTTAGGACCCCCAAGCAGACATCTTTTCCTTTCAGCAGGTCAAGCCTTTGGTATTCCCAGCTGCTTTAAAAGTGTGTGAAGAAGGGGGACCCAGTGGAGAAATTGCAAGTGTTGAGTCATCTCACCCACTTCCCTGTATCAAAATCAATCTTCACCACATAAGTGAAAGTTTTCCATCTCCTTCCTTACTTCATTCTCCATCCCCCGTCTATATTTCTCTCACCACATATGATGTTTATTAATCCCTAAGAGAAGTTCTGCTACAGGCTTGACCTCAGTCTCTCACATTGGGATGAATTTGGGATGGAGCTTGAATGTTAGGGAAAGATGGGATTCTGCTATTTATTCCCTTACCTCTCAGCCCTGCAAGGGACTCCATCCCATAAGTGTATCAACCATAAAGGAGCACTAGCTAAGAAAAATGCCTGCCAGTATCTGCTCTCAAAACCTTACAATACGATAGGCATGGTAGGGAGTAGGAGTTGGCAAACACAGAGACTACTACAATGTCAAATTGAAGGTAACAAGAAAGAATTAACAAAGTACTGTTGGAGCACTGAGAAGAAATTAGACCTTATCTGCTTGGAGGGATCAGGAAAGATCCCTTGAAGCCATCGGAATCTGAGGTTGAGTGCTGAAGGGTAGAGATGGGGATGGGGAAAGGGGTATCTTGCAGAAGATGCAATCTGAGCAAAAGTCCAGAAGCCAGAAAGTTCCAAGTGAGAGTGAAGATTAGATATTATAGTAGTCTGAAGAGGTCAACTGGGAAGAATAAAGGGTCTGGAGAATATAGGGGACCCTAGTGTGACACTGGACTGCTAACCAAAAGGTCAGTAGTTTAAACCCACCAGCTGCTCCCTGGAAATCCTATCTGTACCTATGATTGGAAATTTTTGCTTGATGGCATGTAACAATAACAGATATAAAGGGATGCAAGGAGGCGATGAAGAACATAGTGGTGGTGGTTATGTGGCATGGAGTCGGTTCTGACTCAACAACTGTGTATAGGGTTTCCAAGGCTCTAAATCTTTATAGGAGCAGAGAATCTCATCTTTCTCCCACAGAACCATGGGTAGTTTCGAACTGCAAGATCTTGAGAGTAGCAGTCTGACTCGTAACCACTACATTATGAGAGCTCCTTGAAGAACATATTAGAAGTTTCTTATTTGTCTCTCTCTCTCTCTCTCTCTACAGGTGCTACCACAGTACTTCAGAAAACTGGTGAATCCACAACACCGGACCCTTTATTTCTCCTTACTCCAGGTCTTATTTATAATACTCACCTTGACCACACTTCACGTAGCCCTCCAGGCAACTACAAATCTACAGAAACCCATAAACTAAAATATCACTGCAACACCACAAACCATCTCAAACCTATTCATGAACCTATAGAAACCCCTCAAACTGCAGAGCATAAAAACTCTAAAACTCATTACAGAGTTCCTACCACTTCTGAACAAAAACTGAAGAACCAGGAAAATGACTCAGTTATCCGGAATGGACGATCTGTTGATCACTCTGATGCCACTAAAAATAATAACAGATCTTCTGATGCAAAAAACCCAGATGTAAGACGCACAGCAAAATTACAGTGTTTCAATTCCACAACAAGAAGACCAATAATTACAAGACCATCAGGAGAAAATCTGGGAATCACCAACACTACAGTAGATAAAGGAAAGAACACATCATACGCTACTACAGTTAGATTACCCAACTCAACCACTTCAGACACAAACAGAAAACCTACATCCTCCTCAGAAAACATAAACACAGGGCAAAATAAAATGACTACGATCACAGAAAACCCCTCAACAGCGTCAGGGTCATTATATCAGACCACAAAAAGCAAAGGGAACTCAAAAGCACCTGAATATCACACCACAGCTCCTATTTACATCACTATATTTCCCTCAGACAACACTTCCATATCTCCAGCAAAACACACAGCACACACAGAAAAGACATTGACGCAGGAAAAAGCTACAAGTGTCCACGTGAAGAAACCAGAAGGAAAGACCACTTTACCAACTGAGAAAAAGACAAGCGTCCCAGTGACGAACACAGACGAGCCAGGAAAGATCACTTCACCATCTGAGAATACCACCAGCGTTCCAGTGACAAACACAGATCACCCAGTAAAGACCACGTCACCATCTGAGAATACCACCGGCATCCCAGTGACAAACACAGAACACCCAGTAAAGACCACTTCACTATCTGAGAATACCACCAGCATCTCAGTGACAAA